TTTGTTTTTTCTTCTTTGGCTTTAAGCCCAGCACACATGTTCCTGGCTAGGATGGGTGGTGATACTACTAGAAGGCTCTACTTATTTTCTTTTCTTTTTTTCTTCCAATGTCTGTTGTCTATTGTGGCTTTTTGAAAGTGTGCCCTTTGCTGTGCATCCACACCAGAGAGTTTACAGTGATACAGCTTTTTGTTAATAAAATGTAAACCCTCTCTGGTCCACATCTTCTGTAACAATGCGGAAAGGGTACACGTGAAGTTGAGCCCTCCAGTCCTAGCGGGTAGTTGGAGGGCGCCCCTGGTTGGCCCTTTTCCCCTGTTATTTCTGCCTGTTCATCTATCATACTCACCCCCACCCCCCAACCCCGCCCTGCAGTACATTGCCATTATTGTGTTGATGTCCTGTTCTTTACTCCAAACAAACGAACGGACCCCCATTCGTGGTTGGTTGGCGGGTGCTCTGGTGTGGTTTGCTCTTTCTTTCCTATCAAAAACTATCGTGGTGGTCCTTTTCTCTCCTACTCCTTTTTGTGTTTGTTACTCTCTTGTAACACCTCTAATCTTCGGCACTTATAAGGCCTTATTTTGTTGCAAGTGCCCTAGGACTCTTACTAAAACTACCCCCCCCCCCTTTCCATTCGGGGCCTTGTTTATCCTAAAACGCGCACCCCAGGGTCTTTACATTCAGTTCAGTGGCTACTTTTAAGTCACCCCGTGACGTCATTTGCACCTGTTTCAGCCAGGGGCTTCGCTGTCGCACGCAGGAGACCCGAGTTCGGTCCGAGTACATTTGTATTTGTACCTGTATTTCGGCCTGTCTGCTGGGATGCTGCATCCGCTGTTTTGTTTTTTTTTCTTTTCTTTTTCCCCCTTTCTTTTCCCATTTTATTTTTACTACGATTATTTGGTACTTTTTTGCATTTTGTTTGTTTTGTTTTTGTCTCTTTTTGGCGCGGGGGTGGGGATAGTCAATGTTGTATTTCTTACAGCTACAATTTTATTTCAAAAATTTTTAAAAATTATTTTCTTCTAAGTTGAATTTTGCGCTGCATCCGTCGTTAAGTGTGTTTCTTGTTTGTGTGTGTTCCCCACAGTGTCTCGCCTGTTCTGTGAGAGCGAGTCCTTCAAGATGGACCTCATCCTGGACGTGAACACGCTCATCTACCCCGTGGAGCTGGGTGAGTGTATGTGTGTGTGTGTGTGCTCATCTACCCCGTGGGGCTGGGTGAGTGTCTGTGTGGGGGTGTATGTGTGTGTGTGTGTGTGTGTGCTCATCTACCCCGTGAAGCTGGGTGAGTGTCTGTGGAGGTGTATGTGTGGGTGTGTGCTCATGTACCCTGTGGAGCTGGGTGAGTGTCTGCGTGGGGGTGTATGTGTGGGGGTGTGAGGGGAGGGAGACTGAGAGGCGGTGTGTGTGTGTGTGTGTGTGTGTGTGTGTTAAA